CAGTCCTGTATAGCTGTTTCAGTCGTCTCTAGAGACCTGAGAAGGTTTTCTGACCGAGGTCCAGGCCTTCCACTCCTCTGCTGAGTCTAAGCGTTTGCAGACTCATCCCCACCAGGCTGTTCCTCAGGAAATGCTGAGGCAGAAGGAAAACAGCCCTGGGAGAAAGTGGTGCAGTCACAGGGTCAACTGCCCTGGATCCCCAACCCTTCCAGAAGGCCCCGACCTGGAGCTGAAGTTATGTCCCTCAGAGCTGCCCAGAGTGAGGGCCCAGGGAGAGGCTGAGTCCTACATCCAGCAGGTTCTCTTTGGCTGTCTGTTGAGGAGGGAGGGAACAGGGGAATGACAGCTGGCTGACTCCCTGGCTTTCATCTCCACCTGACTTCCTCTACCCCCACCCTGCATTTCCTGGCAGGCAGGACAAAAAGCCCAAAGTCAGAGATGCCACTGGTCATGTGCCAAGAAGCCCTCTGCTTCCAGCCCTCCTGCTGTAGTCCAAAAAATACCATGGCACAGCCACGCTCCACATTCCTCACTCCTTCCCTGGCCCTGCTCGGGTACCTGTGTTCTGTCTTTGCCGCTCACAATTAGAACAGATGGAAGTCTTAAGGGGTAGCTGGAGCTTTAGTGGGGAAGGTAAAGGTGTGTGGCTGCCAGCTACACTGGGACCACCATTTTGCTCCACTCAAATGCCGCCACACTGAGAGGTCTTCCTTGATCCTATGTACAAGGGACAGGGGACTTTCTCTTCCTCCCCAGCTCAGAGTTCACACCAGATGGCTTCAGCTGCCATCTGAAAGAGGAAATGGCAGTGCCGCTGCTCTTGGGCTAGGGCCTCTTTGCTTCCTCTCACCCCTCCTGTCTCTCCAGAAGCCCCTGGTTCTTTATCACGGTCCTGCCCTGCGGAGATGTCAGCCTGCTGTCTGTCTATGGTCAGCTCTCAACATCAAAGTGAGATCAGTGTGAGGAGACTTTCTGGCCACCCACCCTCTTCTCTTCCCATGTGCTATCATCCCTCGACCACAAAGCCAGGAAGGCAGCAGAGTCTGGCAGGCCAGTGGGCCCTGGACAGTGGTCTGCATTTGGACATACCCTTCCCCTTCAAGGTGAGTGATGGGTTTCCCACCAAAGGAGATAGCACAAAAGGCAGCCCAGGCTCTGATGACTGACCCCGCTGCTGACCTCTTGACAACTGCCACCTTGCATGCTAGGGAACCTTGGCCAGATGCCTTCCACATGACATGGAATGGACCAACCTAGCAGCGATGGTCAGCCCAACAGCAGTTAAAGCGTGTACTGTTCCTGCAGAGGACTTGAGTTCAGCTCTCCAGTACCCACATCTGGGGTCTCACACCTGTCTGTGACCCTGAAGCCAAGGGATATGACCCCTTGGTCTGGACTTCATGGGCACCAGACACATTCCCCCAGTTAATAAAATAAAAACATGTAAGAGAGTTAGCCAACCGAGCATTTGGTACTGGCCACGGAAACCTGGACCGCGTCTCAGTTGATATGATACGTTAAGTGTTTGAAAAAGTCCTGGTACATTTTATTTAGCTAAGGCCCATTTTTGTCTGGCTTGGCACACATGGCCCTTTCTTTCTCTTACCTTGGAGTGTAGGACTCTCATCTTCCTGCTACTCAGAGCACGCTCCTGTCAGTAAGTCCCTAATATGCTGTCTTCTGAGCAATTCTGAGTTTGTCTGCCCCTTTCTTTGGTCTCTCTGCACCTTCTACCTTTGCTGTCTACCTCTCTTGGTTTCTAGACTTTTCTAAAACAGGTTCTTTTGGCCCAATTCCATGTTTGAAAGCCCTTTGAGGAGTTACAGTGTATCATGGTCCTCTCTGAAGCTAGAGCTCGTTGAACAAGGGCCCCGTGGACAGTGGTGGATTACTCACTGTGCACAGGCGGCTGATGGTAGAGGCCGAGAAAAGCCTGTGATGAATGGTCAGAGGGGTGCACACGGGGCTGGGCCCACCAAAGGGAGTTCTAAGGCAGAGTGCACTATTACAGGTTAGCTGCAGGCCACCCCGGATTCTCATCCACATTTGGTTCAGAACCCGGCCTTTGCTGTCAGAGAAGCAGGGTTGTAGGTAAACTATATGGTTCCAGTCTGCCAGATGACATAATGCTGGCACCTTAAAGCCCTGGGTGACTTCAAATGAAACTTCCGCCGGAGGGAGAAGCCCTCCCAGCACCACTTCGGATGGCCAGGCCTCTGCACTCTTAGAGCGTGGCCTTAGGAATGCCTCCATGAAATGCTCAGATACTCCTTAGGAATGGGTGTCTTTAGCCTCTGACAGACAGATCCCTCAATGTCATGACATGTCCTGAGACTTGGCCTTCTCTCTGCAGCTGTTCTTCCTTTATCAAGGAACGAATTCTCCAAGGGAGAATTCTGGACTTCCTGGACTCACAGTCTGACTAGGCTCTCTAGCCACTTGGATAAAATCTACCGTCAATTGATTAATTCTAAATGACATCAGCCCCATGCCCTTATTAGTGAACTGCTTTGCTTTTCCCTACAAGTTCTCCATCAGTGGTGAATATGGATGGTCTGCTTATCGATCTCAGGGACATGGAAATACTAAACCAGCCCTTTGTTTTGTTCATGGTAAGCAGAGGAAACACAAGAAAATCTTCCTTTTCTTCCTTCTCCTCCTCCTCTTTATGGATTATAAACCTTTTTCTAGAGAAGCTGAACACTTTGTATATCATATTCAGAAAGCAGGCATATTCATGGGTTGGTTATATTTGGTTAAAATACAGGGATGTTGAGCCCCTGAGTTTGAGTAGCAGAATCAGAGAGATGGTCTCTGGGGTTGGGGTGTTACCTATAGCTCACAAGGAGCAGGGAAGGGTCAGTGGCAATCCGCGGCTATCACGGAACCAGAAAGCCCGAATGTATCACCTAGTAGAGTCTTCCCTTCATGAAAGAATCTCCGGGAATTGCCTTTAAAACCTGGGGCCTTTTGCCACATAAATGCCTAAGTCTCAAGAGCTTGGCTATTTTTCTGCCAGCCGTTTCTTTGTGAATTCACATGGCATGCCAGCCATATGGAGAGGCAGGCGCGTTCCTGTTCTACTCATCAACAGACTTTTGAGGTCCACTGAGCTGACAATACTTCCGAGGTGAAGGGACACCAATAAATGCCCTTCACAGATCTTCACTGAGACTGTCTTTGCCTCTCCTGATACCCACTTCTCATGGGAAGCAACCTGAAGAAGCCTGCACGTCTTGTCCACATACCAGGTTTCCTCTCTAAACCTCGTCCTCGCTGTCTACCTAAAGAGCATGCACAGGGCTGTCCAAGCTCAGCTAGACCACAAAGAAAGCTCCCTTTTCTCAATTTGCACCTGAAAGTCCTGGTTGCCTCTATGGCTTGCTTTTAACTTGTCGGCTCAATCTCTAAACCTCTCCTATTTACAGCAGCCAGGCCACAGCTCAATACAGAAAGCCCCCCCGCCCCCACGCTTTCTATGAAGCCATTGTGGTGGCCTATGAAGAGGTCCAACGGGCCTGGCCTCTGATAGTGCATGTGTCACCTTCATGACCACATGGCCACAGCAAACCAGCTGTAAGGACAAGGGGCCAACAGGTCTCCCGGTCTGCAGGTTTTCTCTTGTGAGAAAGCCTACGAAGACAGAGAGGCGCTTCGCTCTTTTAATTGCCACCTACCTCCCTGAGGTGTTATGATGTATACATTTGGTGGATTCAAAATCACGGTTACATGTCGTTAAAACGCATCCTGCTACGACAGGAAAATGGCTACGTAGCTGTCAAACCAGGATTTCTTAGACTATTTAGAAAGCACTGAAAGGGCACTAATCACACAGTAGTCATGTTTTACAAGGACTTTGCTCTTCCACAGAGGTGGGGAAACAAGGCAAGTTAGCGTCGGTGGGTCCCACTCTTTGGGAAGAGCAAGGTGGCCAGTTTCCAAGTGCCCTGAAACTGCTATTTTGGTTGCTGATAGTTTGATATTAATAGTACAGGCAGGGTTCCGTGAACTCAATGGCTTCTTCTAGACCAGTCAGTATGCATCCAGTCTTAGGCTTGGAGAAGAAGCCACCATGGGAAGGGGTGATGTTTCTGCCCTGTGCCATGTAAGCCATGGCATAGATCCCATAGGGACCTCACGGACTGCTCTTACCTGCCTCCCTTCGTGTCGCTGCCTCACCAAGCTGTTGTGGAAAGGGGAAAGGCCATTTCCCTGCAGGGACAGGGAACCTCTATCCTGTCTGTACTCCTTTATCAGAATTAGGGACTGGGGAGATTGGTAAACCCTTGGCACAATTATGGGACTCAGTAACTGTCTTCCTCCCCAGGCCGCACTATGCAAATGAGGCTGACAAGGGACCTCAAGGGCTGTGGGTACTCATGCAGAGGCCACTAGCGCGCACACACACACACCAGCTGGACCACAGTGCCACACCCCATGCAGCGCGGTTGCTTCCTGCACACAGCAAAAGCCGCCTACACTGCAGCAACAGCAGCGACCCACACTATAACAGGACGGTCAGGGTTCACAGAGGGAAATTTGGATTTTTTTTTTTTTTTTGAGGCGAGTGATGGTTCTCAGCCAATTTGGTTCGTGGTTTGTTCCAAGGCCTTCTCCCCAGGCCGCTGTAGAAGATGCTCAGATGGCCCAGCCCCAGCCCCAGCCCCAGGAGCAGTAAGGGCCCTTCTTCCTCAGAGCCTCAAAAAGAGGCCACAGATCCCATCCTGTGGCCGGGCACAGGCTGGGCCCTGAGCTGTGAACCTTCTGCAGCAGGTGGGGAGCGGGGGGGGGGGGGAATGCTTGCTCTTTTTGCAATCCCATCCCTGGAAGAAGCTGCAGACACTGGCAAAAGAAAGGAGTGAGGGGAGAGGAGGGGAAGCACTGGACTCCCGCCCACCAAAAAAAAAGAAAAAAAGAAGAAAAAACAGGACAAAAAAGATCTGAAAACCCAAAACCAAAAGCGAAAGGAACATGGAGGGCAGAACACCGGCTGAACTTACCACACTGCGCGTGAACTTTTCTAGGGAAGTTCTACGACCTTGCTCACTTTCTGGCTTTAAGGGGGAGAAAAAAAAGGGGAGGTAGGAAGAAAAATACAGGGGGGAAAAAATCTTCAGCTTTCATGTGATTTCTAAACAGCAGCAGCCACAGCTAAAGAACAAAACACAAAAGCCAAATGCGGCAAAAGGGGCAGAGAGAAGCGGCCAGAGCTGTTGGCAGAGCTGATGAAGAGTAGGAAAACAGAAGCCCCGGAGAAACACACTGCCTCTCTGGCGCCCAGGGGAGTGAGAGGAGGGCCATGGGTGGTACTGCAGGGCCTTTGCCTTCTGGAGTGCCCTGGTGGCCATTCAAGATGGCTGCTTGTTACTCTCTCAGTTGGGCTCAGAAGCAGGGCCCTGGGTGGTTGTGGCCAGGAGGCCCCTGGGCCTCCGAGTGGTGACACAGAATAGACTAACTCTGAGGGCTATCCATGTATGGCGGTGCTGTGATCCCAATGGGACTCTGGAAGCAGCCAGGGCTGAGTCCTGAGTGTGGGTCTCTCTTGAGGATTTTCCTGCCTAGAGGAACAGCTGCTAACTTCAGCGCCTTCCTAATGATTTTCTGTGTCCTGAGAGCAAGCAGAGGCTACTCAAGTACTTTGCAATGACAAAGGGGGCTGAGGCCTCGGGAAACAAAAGCCTAGCTCTGAGCAGAAAACAGTTTCTCAGGTCCCAAGTGGTAACACTTCTAAGCTGAACTGGGGATGGCTTCAGGAGGCTCAGCATCCTCCTGGGGGAACTGTTAGTTCAGATTCAAGGAGCAGAGGCAAGAGAAGGCAAAAGCCAAAAATGTTCTACTACAGGCCTCTCAGGAGGAAGAGATATGGTGCCTGCCTGACCCTTTTCCCAAGTTTCCTACCCAAAAAGAATGGAATTCTATCCCAAATGCCTTTTGTCTTGATTTAGAGCCCTGTTTCAGCCTAAGGTTGACAAATTCAGAGGACACACACAGGCACACATGTGCGTGCGTGTACACACACACACACACACACACGACAAATGCAACTTGGGAACTGAAGAAGCAGCTAGCTGTCTGTGGGTCTAGAATGTGCTGGAAACGGGTCAGGCAAAGGCAGCCGTTTTTGGCATCCACCCATGCCCCCTACTGACTTAACCAAGCTCCGAAAGACAGAGATGAAGTTGCAGAAGGAAAACACAAGACAAATGACATGTGACCATAGAGTTGGGCTGGGCTTTTTTCTCAGATGGGATCTGTGGGATCCATGTCTGGTCCATACCCAGAGTCGGCTATGGAGGGGGACAAAGCTCAGCTCTCATCCTAAAGACACCAGAGGGCAGATATTGAGTCAAGTCAAGCAAGTTCTAGACCTGTTACTCTTATCCCCTGGCCACACAGTTGGGTTTCCTTTGAGCTGCTATGGAAACCCATCATCACCACTACATCACTGTCAATCAAAATCCAGTTCACCCTCCTTTAGAATCTAGTTCTCCAGAGCAACTCTCCTCTCCTCTGAGGATAGCAGAAAAGAGGAAGAGCCATTACAACAGAGCGTAAGTCAGAGCATAAATCTGTGCTTCTAGACTCTACTAGGCATGGCCCTCAGTTGAAACAGGAGGCCGATTCTTACTCTCTGGGGCTGGAGGGAGAGTGGAGATCTCACACGCCCTTATCAGAGGATGAACCGCAGCACCACTGGAATCGGAGGATGCTCTGGGCCTTCCTGAAGGTGCTGAGTTACAAGTCTGGTGCCTGGAGACTCTCAGGAAGACATGTCTGGGGAAATAACTGCTCCATACTGAAGAGATGAGCAGGTACCCTGGCTTTCTGCCAGAAGAACATCCTTTAATTTGAGGGCTGTGGGGTAACTACTGAGCTTCATTTGCAACCTTTCTCTCGAAGGGGTTAGTTGCTGCCCCTTCCCCTGGCCTCCTGCAGTTGGCTGCATTGGGAGGGATCTGCAAACTCAGCTAGTTTAGCCAGGTTCCTGGATTGAGGTGCATCTTCCCTCCCTACAACCTTGGGGAGACTAAATGGCATCTGACCTTTACTCTAAATGCTTATGTAGCTAGGCACAGATTGGTGAAATTGCTAGAGCCTTAAATGTGCCCTAACTGGGGTCAGTTTAGGGGACTTGAGCCTCAAGAAATAAAAATAAAATAAAATAAATCTTCCCTTGACTTTCTCCCATGAGACTTAGGATTTAAGTGACCAAAGTCTCTATGACCTTGATCTTTCTTCCAGTGCTTAAAAAAGTGGGCAGCAGAGCCACTTGTGTGTGTGTGGGGAAGTCTCATCCCCCATCTACAGGAACCCATCCTCCAAAAAGGGAATTGGCCAAAGGTTTCACATTCTCCATCCCATGAGCTCAATTCCAAGAGGGGCTTGGAAAGTAGCAGAGCTGAGCTTTTTTGACAGTAGAACTTCTGGAAGGTCTTTCAATTTTCTCAGAGTCTTAGGATTCTTAGGGCAGGGGGTGGGGGTGTAAGAACAAGAAGGTAGAAGTAAATGCTCTCCAGGACCCTGGAGTTACATGGTACCAATCAGATGGGCAGACAGGCAAACATGTGGTACAGTTGCCAGTACACAGAGAAGAGTGTGAGGCTGAAAGGTAGCCCAACAGAAAGCCTGCGGATGGACAACCGTGTGTTTGGGGACTAGGGTTTGGATACCAGCAGAAGAGAAGCGTGCGTGTGCGTGTGCGTGCGTGTGTGTGTGCAGTGAGAATGGAAGTCATATAATCTGGAGCAAGTCGAGTCACACTTGACCACACATGGCCTTCAGGTTGGAGCGGAAGTGTCCAGAAGGTTGGCGTGTTCACTCAGACCCTGCCTCTTGCCCTCCCCTTTCCTAGCCCATGTATCATTCTTGCATTCCTTCCCCACCCCTTCCAGGCACTCTCATCACCCGCATGCTGAGGGGCTACAGGCTCTGTGAACCAAGTCTCCAAGGGCTGTAAGAGCCATGATTTAATTCCAAGTGGAAGAGGAGGAGGAAGTGGTTGGGAGGTGGTTACTTTCTAGTTAAAGTAACCGGGAAAAACTTCAGAGAAATGGTGAGCCAGGCTCCAGATGAGAAGGGATCAGTGCCCTATTTTAGTGGTGATTCAGATGTCTGGTGGATCCGTTAAAACTGGCAAGACACTCTTTTCTGGGGTGGGGGGTGGGGTGTCCTGATCCTCACTTCATACGCTCCCTTTCTAGTCAGGTTGGAGAGGAAGGACCTGTTGGGAATGGCTGAAGGGAACTGGCAGTGAAAAATCTCTCTGCTATCCTAAGAGATTTGCTTGGGTCACTGCCAACCTGACATTCTGGAGTCGAGCCACTGTGGCAATGATATTTTGGTCACCCTCCTCTCACTGTAGGCAAAACAGGCAGACAGAGGGAATGGGAACACGGAGGCAGAATGCCGTATCCTCAGTATCGGGGGAGGCTGGGACAGTAACCTTCCTCACTGTTCTTGATTGGAGAGGGGCAGACAGAAAAGGGGAGAGAAGAAAAGAAAAGTAAATAAACAAAACCCAAGGGATGATATTCTCATTTTACACCAGCAGCAAGCAGCAGCGAGAGTCAACAGTGCTAAGAAAGACAAGCTTGCCCTTCCCAAGATACCTTCTTCTTGGCCAGCAACAGGTCCTGGTAAGCATTGGACCGCAGGAAGCGAGCGTAGCTGTCACTCTTCATCAGCTTGTAGATGTGCTCCTGGGGAAGGGAGAAGAGGAGGGAAAGAAAGAGCTGTCAGCTGGAGCTAAAGGACGCGACAATCCACCTGACCTGGGGGTGGGCTGCCACAGGAACCTAGGGACGTTTGAATGGAGCTAGGAAAACTCGCAATGTGTCCCACCTCTCCCATGACACATGTCAAGAAATAAACAAGCAAAATGACATTTTCTCTTACAGAGCAAGAGGTCTGTATCTCAAAGGATTTGTAATCAGGTCTTAGTGTCATGTTGGGGTATGCAGTGGTTAAAGCTGCAGTAGCAACAGTTGGAGGTATTGCTCCAAAACTGGGGAGACTCGCAAGGTAAATATGACGAGTGAAAACAGTGCTCCTCAGGTATACCATCTGATCTCATTTATAGAACAGTCTCGAAAGGACAGATTAGAGAGCTAGAGAACAGATTAGTGGTGGCCAGAAGTTAGGAGTGGGCAACAGGTGGTTAGACAAGGCAACAGGAAGGATCTTTGTGGTGACGGGTGGTTCTCTATCTTGGCGCATCTGCACAGGTGATACAGCTGTGAAAAATGAAGCACACACATACGCGAGTGCAAATACAACTGGCACACCTGAACAAAATCAATGGATGGTGGCGCCATCATTACAATACGTTACAATAATAACTAACTCTACTCCAGTTTTGCAAGATGTTACCACTGGGGAGCTGGATGAATGGTTCCATCTCTGTAGTCTTTAACCACTTTCCGGGAGTCTACAAGTGTCTGTAAAAAGCACAGCTTCAAAAAGTATCCTAGAGGGTGTGAGGGAGACGGTCCAGTGGATAAGAGCTCATGCTGTGCAAACACCAGGACCTGAGTTTGAAATCCCAGCACCCATGTAAAGAGCTGGGCACGGCTGTGGCTACCTACAAATCCAGTACAGTAGGGGGCAGAGACGGGTGGGTTGGATCTCTGGGGCTTGCTGGCTGCCAGCCTAGTTCTAGTATCAGTGAGACTCTGTCTCAAGGAAATAAAGTGGAGACTTAATAGAGCAGGATACTGGACATCCACCTGTGGCTTCTGCATGTGCACACACACATACACACACGGAAACAATATGATTGAATCGGCCTGTGTACATTAGGGCCATCATTTTGGTCTGGAAGGCGACCCTTCATGACTGGCTCATAGAGCATCTGGGCACATCAGGCCTACGGGTGGCATCTAGGAGGAGGCTACTGCTGTTGCTGCGTCCCCAAGGCTCTGAGAAGACCCACACCCTTGGCCCAGCATATGACCCCTGGCTTGCGACTAACTCCTCCAGGCACACGTTCTTTCTCACAGTCCATTCTTCTCAAAGGCAGGCAGTCCCGGCCTGCAAACAGAGAGGCATGGAGGAAGGATGGTTTGTCTATGGAGGTGAGCCTGTCTGGTCCAAGAGCAGTGCTACAGGGAGGGAGAGTGGGCCATCCAAGATGGTGGAGTATTAGTTGGCAGCTGGCATGGTAAAGGAAATTTTGTCCCTTATAGTGTTCCCTGCCCCCTTCAGAAAGCTGGGCAATGGCCTCAGTGCCAAAGGGAATGGAGTTCTGGTCAGTGAGGAGAGACAGCCCAGCTGGAAGTGAAGGCTTACCCCTGGGAGCCTCTTTCTGGCTTCTCTTCCCAGAGGACACCTTGTATGGAGGTGGCGGAGACCTCACATCAGTTGGGGAGGTCACTTTTTTTCTTCATTTTAATTATTTATTTTTATTTGTAACTGTTTTGCCTACATGTATGTGTGTGTACCATAAGCATGCAGTGCCTGGAGATGTCAGAAGAGGGCATCAGATCTCCAGGAACTGACAGTTGTGGGTACTGGGAATCAAACCCAGGTTCTCAAGAAAAGTATCCAGTTCTCTCTTTCTAGCCCTGAGGATTGGGGTAAGGTGGGGGACTGCAGGAGTTTTTTTGGGGTTGGGGTTGGCTGTAGCCTGGCTAGAGAATCCTGGAACAATGGCCAGACTGTGCCGAGACATCTCCCTACCCAGCATAAAAGACACATAGCCAAGACCCAGAATTAATCAAGGTGCCCATCAGTTTACGAACAGATAAAGGATATGTGGGAAATATATTTTACACACACACACACACACACACACACACACACACACACACACACACACACACACAGTCTTTAGCCTTGAGAAGGAAAGCTGCCCTTTACCAAGGTGTAGATGAACCACCTAGGTGAAATGCAATGAGTCAGGCACAGAATAACAAATTCTGACTCTGCTTACATGGGAAGCTAACACATCAGACTCATGAAAGCAGAGAGAGAGAGAGAGGGAGGGAGGGAGGGAGGGAGGGAGGGAGAGAGGGTGACTGCTTCCAGAGACTGACATATGCAGGGGAGGGAGCCTGGGGGATGCTGGCCACAGGAGACACTTCCTTTAGACAGGACGGATAAGTTCAGCATATCTAGAGTACACCATGGCTGACTACAGTTCATCACAGTATCTGGTCATTGTGAAATTTTGATTTGAAGTTTTCTTAATTAAAATAAAACAGCCTGTGGAATGATAACCATGTTAGATTACTTGATTCAGACATTTTCAGTGTACACACGTTAAAACATGTTTACACCATGAAAACAGATGACGTTTTACCTGTCAGTTATAAATAATGAAAAACAAAAATGAAAATGGAACAGAAGAAATACATTGGCTATACCAGGAATCTCTGCAGCCCATCCCCAGCAGAGCCCCAAAGGGTCCTGGGATCAGCTTTTTTCTTCCTAAGATGCCCCATATTTACAAAAGTTGGGTGGCCATATCACAGACATTGAGAGAAACAATAAATGGGACCTCCTGAAATTGAAAAGTTTCTGTAAAGCAAAGGACATGGTCAACAAGACAAAATGACAGCCTACAGAATGAGAAAAGATCTTCACCAACCCCACATCAGACAGAGATCTGATCTCCAAAACTACAAAGAACAAGAAATTGGTCATCAAAAGAACAAATAATGCAATAAAAAAAAATGGAGTACAGACCTACACAGAGAACTCTCAACAGAGGAATCTAAAATGGCTCAAAGACACTTAAGGAAATGCTCAACATCCTTAGTCATCAGAGAAATGCAAATCAAAATAACTCTGAGATTCCATCTTACACCTGTAAGAATAGCCAAGATCAAAAACACTGATGACAACTTACGCTGGAGAGGTTGTGGGGTAAAGGGAACACTCCTCCATTGCTGGCGGGAGTGCAAGCTGGTACAACCCCTTTGGATAACAGTCTGGCAATTTCTCATAAAATTATGAAACAACCTTCCTCAAGACCCAGCAGTACATGTGCTCAACTATGTTCATAGCAGCATTGTTTGTTATAGCCAGAACCTGGAAACAACCTACATGCCCCTCAACTGAAGAATGGATAAGAAAAAATGTGGTACATTTACATAATGGACTACTATACAGCAGAAAAAAATAATGACATCCTTATATTTGCAAGCAAATGGATGGATCTAGAAAATATATTGAATGAGGTAACCCAGACCCAAAAAGACAAATACCATATATACTCACTCATAAGCTTTTAGACTTAAAACAAAGAACAAAAAATAAAAACAACAACAACAAACCTGCCTACAATTCACAATCCCAGAGAACCTAGACAACAATGAGGACCCTAAGAGAGACGTACATAGATCTAATCTACATGGGAAGTAGAAAAAGACAAGATCTCCTGAGTAAATTGGGAGCATGAGGACCATGGGAGAGGGTTGAAGGGGAGAGGAGAAGGGAGGGGAGCAGAGAAAAATGTACAATTTAATAAAACCAAAAAAATAAAAAAAAATCAAGTTGGGTGGTATTCTCACCAATGGAAAGGGACAGGCAAAGAATGCAGGGGAATTGCGGCTGCTTTGGAGACTGTGTTCTCAGTGAACAACCTTAATGTGAAATATTTTTCAGAAAACCTCACAGAACTATCCAGCCCCGCCCCTCCCACACCAGTTTAAGTCCCTGGATGATAGGGACAGTGTGTCTTCATCTTTTAGAGAGGCATCCTGTCCGCCACAGGGTCAAACATTTGGCTGTATTTACACCATGCTGTGGGTGGTTTGGCTATAGCTTAAGCATGCTTCCCCAAGGCTCAGAACCCAGTTAGTGCCTGTAAGAAAGCTGGGTTCTCACCCCCTCTCTCATCATGAGCTCTCTCCTGACACACACTCCCTGCCATATTGAGACATAGCAGGAAGGCCCTCACCAGAGCCCCAACAGATAGGGTTGCCTGATCTTAAGAATTTCAGGCTACAAAACCGAATCAAATACATTTTTTTTCCTGCTTTGCGACACACGTATTCTTGATTAGTTTGTTATAAAAACAGAATACACGCTAATGCAGGGTTTTCTCGTTCACTAAAATGCTTGCTTGAGTTTAATGCTCAATGTTGCTTTAATTTATGAGTGGCCTAAGCAACTACTTACTTGCTCTGTCTGGGAGGAGAGGATCATATCCTCATGAAGCGCTGTGAACCTCTGAACCTCTTAGCACAAACACCCTTCTCTTCCCCAGAGCCTGGATCTGGGGTGTCATTGGTCTTGGTTTTTGTCCGATATCTCTAAATTGATTTACCTGCCACGCACTGCACCCCCCGTGTCTGCGCTCTGTGCACTGGCACCCAGTTCCTGAGCTTTGGGCAAGGGGGCTGGAGGTTAAAATACACAGACACACACAGACAGAGAGACAGCGACATGGGTCATCCTCGAATTCCCCAAGAATTCCCCCTTCATTGTGTCCAGGGGAAGCTTATATAAAGATCCTTAACTGCCCCATCCAAACCCACCAGAAACCCCTCTCCTGCCATCAGGAACTCCTGTGGGTCTTGTGCTCAGAGCAGCTGTAGGCACTCAGATCAGGGAAAAACAAGTTGTTTACAAGAAATTCAGGATCTGGGGTTTCACTGCTCCCAACATCTCCCCCCCCCCTAAATTTTTTTATAAAGCAGAAGACCCTCCTGACCACACAGCCTTTTGGTTTCTACTGATTCACTTTGGCCAGCAC